TGCCAAAACCCTTTTACGCAATACAATGCTGAGTCTTCGCCCCGTTTCCTCGAGTTCCTTCGTAAGACTAGTGTCAAAACCGTAGGCGGACCTTGAGAAAGTCTATAACAGTCTTATCCACCTTTTTCAAAAACTCTAGGAAATCCTGTCTCTCGCAACTGAGCCAATACTACAGGCATTAAAAAAACCTGGAAGGTATAGAAACTAACTCTTAAAAAATCGTTTTTATAAGAGCAGATGATAAATCGTGAACAAAATTTAAGGATTTTGAAATTATACTTCCGTTTTAACCTTATAATGACAGTAAAAAAACTCCACAGGAGTGAAGTCTCAACGAAAGTCGGCTTCATGTTGAAGGCAAGGCAAGCAAGCCAAACCGGCTGAACGCAATGTTGGAGGTTTCAACGAGCTAAGGAATTGTTCGAAATAAAATCTGACAGCTGGATCATTATTTCCTTACATATGCGTTTTTGTAATATATTAGTCCTGCGCAGATCCGAAATGTTGTACAGCTCCTGGACAGCTCTCGTTGGTGTGCTCATCCAACGCACTTGTGGGCGGTTTATGGCAAAAATCCTCTTTTGATAGGCAGGGTGCTGTGCTATACATTGAATGGGTTGATCTGTCCCCAAATAGCACAATATAAACAGCAATTTCGTAGCGATCTGAAACACTACAGCGCGCTGTCTCGAACGTTGCATGTGCAAAAAAATCCCGGTGCAAAATGCATCACTGTATTTATTCCAATGTATTTTGGTCTTTCAACGGCGTCTTTATCGGATCCTGCACTTCCTGCCCTTAGCCAATATGAAGAAGTCTCAAATTCGGTTATATTACAAGTTTATTACAGTTATCAACACGAAAAATTTGGCTAAGCTTCTACGAAACTGCGGAACAAATAAATTACCTGGGAAACTGCATTTGCGCAGTGGCGTCACAACATAGCGGCTCTCATTCCCGTGAAAAAAAAACTGATTCTCAAAAACTGAACACGCTTTGGGTCGCTTTTGGAAAGAAAACCTCTCTTTTTCTTGCTGTTTTCTTTTCATAATTTCCGGTGTTCCTGGTAATTAGAGCTATGATTTCTAGCTTTCCAGTCTCCTTTAGATCCTTGTTTAGGTTTTCGTAGACAACAAACAATATATAATTATGGTCGTTTTTTTTTTATTTTTTTATCATAATTCAAAAACTTGCATTTCTATCTTTCCTTCTGCGCTCGAGTATAAAGTTTTTTTGCAGGAAATCAGCCTTATTATACGATTTCCCCCGGCTTTCGACTACATTCCTCCCCGAGAATAGACAAAGATCAAACCATTTGTTAGAAGGATTCTGTAGCTTCTGAAGTAACTCAGTCTGTTTCATTTTTTCATGGCGAACTGCCTGAAAACTGTAGGTGATCGTTCAATATTCGCCCACGTAACTCCATTTCTGTCGCGACTTTGCATATCGTTGTTGACTTAGTGGACCTCCGCATATCATACGGTGTTGGTGCCATTCTTGTGGTTATTAATTAGCCAGGGGGGCTAATTTTAACACGGATTTACCCAGTAACAAGGGATAACATTTAATAGCCTAGATGAGCGAAAGGTATTTGTTTATTCTTCTGTCTGCTTTACCCATTAAAAGCTAATTTATTCGTCTATTTTATTTTTCAATTCTTAAAGTTTATCACGGCAAAATATAATAGTGACGCAATCCGACTATTGTCAAGAGACGATATAAAAACATGAAGAATTCACAAGAACTGAAGGAATTCTCTTTCAGCATGTTGAAACGGGTTTTCCCCGGACCGTCTGAAGCGTTCAGGTCCAGAGCACGATTTCAATCATTCAAAGAGGAAACTCTGGTATGAAGCTCCTTCCCACGTTGTTGACCTCTGTTATGTTTGATTGGATAAAGATTTTGACCCTCAGCACCCTTCGACACATTTCACAGTGCTGGGCGTGACAAGAAGTTCTGACGTCACGAATTTACTTTTGTGAAATCTTGGGACGAGTTGCGGGCAGAATACTGTACTCTGTCAGCAAAGAATAACGGTTATAACTGGGAGCCTTTAACAGAAAAAAAAAACACTTAAGTAAGTACTCTTTCTGTTTCTTATTGTAATCTGACTTCTCTTCAAATAACTTCCAGATGGGATACCGCGGCAACCTAACCAGCCACTGCCTGTTAAGTTATTTCCGTAAGATATTTACTTATCGTGCGGTCGATATATAAAGTGCTATTGATTTATCCATGCTGTTCCAATACTCTAAAACGTTTTCGCCCATCGTCGCACGATAATCAACCATCGATGACGAGTGCGCTGATTAACGACGGCTTTATGTAATATCAGCAACATTTGTTTTGATTTTGTCATCACTGGCGCGCGCGACAAACATTCGCGATTTATCATCCTCCTTACGTCTTAATTTATCAGTTTATTAAGTGTTCAACGTTGAGCTTAATTGATCGCGAAGCGTCTCTTCAGAATGGACATGCAAAGTCTCTACTGATGATACAACATTCCCAGGGCCACATTTCGTGACTAGAACTCGCCTGCTGCTGTAGTTCGTCTGGCTAGCATTGTTGTTTTAGTAAACAGACATTTATAGGTCTTTGTGTAGTCAAAACGGACTTTTAATGAAAGCCGCGCTTTTCAGCAAAGTCGACTCGTGCCACTCTATTTCCATATATCCAGTTACAATTTATTTTTTGACCTTATGCAACACTTTTAACCAAAGTCTAGCAAAATAGTAGTGATGAGAACAAACAAGAATTTCCAGCATTTTTGACCACGCTCCAACTGTTAAAGTACTAAGCACATATATTAGATTGGTACGGATACCGTACGGTCTGGTAAAGAACAATAAAGTGGGCGATATTAAAATAGTCGAGAATAAAGAAAACAAGCCAAAGCATCTGTATCAATAAATGTCAATTCAGTTGGACCGATAAAAGGTTCATTATATCATTTATAAGGCTACAATTTCATTAGCTATGGATCATCTCCAAAAAAATGCTGATATTAACTTCTGATTGTTTTTATTGCAGATTGGGTTCACCCCCCTCATTGAAGCTCGCTTTGTAGGCCTCCTAGGAATACCAAGACATCAAGCCAAGTTATTTAAAAAATGCTGAAGTCGATTGTTCTTGTAACCGTAGTCCTGACTTTATCCTTCGTACTGAAAGCTTCAGGTAAGTCTTGTAACTCGTGCCACATCACGTTATTTCTGGGCTGAAGGTGATGAATGCATTATGAAGTTTCCTCCGGCAGTTTCATTTGACGGCATGATTCATCCGGTGTCTCTACCCACACAGGCTCTTTAAGCGCTCATAACTCTCTCCAGTTACTACACCGTTCATAATTCATACATAGAATGGAGTATAGCCTTTAAAACTCAGCCCAATAAAAATTGTCATATTCTTCTTCAAATTTTGTGACAAATGAATTTAATTTCCTTAATCTGGTGTCCTTTTTCATAAACATGCATGCTCGTCTAAAAAAAGAGCTGTGCTCTAGCTAGGACATACAATACCTGACTGAATATAAGATATGGCGGTCTGCCAGCTATCGTATTCTACTAGAAAGGTCCATTAGCTCATATCGTATGGCAAGAAATCTAAATTCCATCAAATCCTGAAAACCCGCTCTCCGATTAGCAATGGGTCATTTAAGAATAATATGACTATTGGCAGCGGCCACTGTATTGTTAGATGCTGGAGTTGTTAGTAAGCGATAGGGAAGTGGACTCTGAAAACATCATACTGAAAAATGTAAGACGAAAAAAGACAGCAATTTTTTAAAGTTGCACTGTAAATTAATGATTTTCCTCTGAATAAATTGCGAAGGGGTCGCAAGGCAGATTCTTTCCAGACCAACTTCGAGTAAAAGGCGGTGTTCGATTTAAAAGAATAATATGACTATTGGCAGCGGCCAAGAGCAACTGAATTAAAACAAATTAGGGTCGACTATTTCAGGTTCTTGCCAGTGATAATAAAGTTGTGTTGTCTTGCACTATTTTTTTTTAAGTCAGACAACCATTCCGTAAAAATCTGGCCAAAGAATTTTTACTCAGCACTAGTAATTTTGCCTGTTTTTTTTTTGTTACAAAAGTGGTTCAAGAACATTAGATACTTGTTAACATTGTAAAAGGTCTGAATTTCGTGGGACAGTATGGTCCAAGAGCAAATCAGTTTGCCATATTTCCGGGCGGGTACTCTGAGAAAAATTGGGTGGTGGTGTGCGGCCCGCTTCCCAAAACCCTTACCCAAGTTATGACCAAAATCTGCAATTTTCAATAGCCTATTTATTACCTGACCCAAATCAATACCCTGTTTCTTACCTGCCTTATACACTTAGTTCCCTAGTTCAGACCGATGTTAAAGGCTTTTGACGGGCTTTTGTTGATCGTTGTTATCAATAAAAAAGAAGAAGCTTATTCTAAAAGAAAAAAAAATGCCCAATTCAAGACTAGAGAGCAAAAAACAGACCCTATTAATGATCAAAATGGTAAAAATCGATACCCTATTTATGACCAAAACGGCAAAAAAATCATATCCTTCGGGACCGCACATACCTATACAGGCCATATAGGGAAGTAACCCCCCCCCCCCCCCCCTCCCAGGGGCCATATGCAAGAATCTTAAGATTAATAGTCTACAACACGACTCGTTTTGTGTAGTAGCATTGCAAAGCCTACAATTATTGTGTAGGACAAAAAAATGTTGCAGGACTTTGAATCATATTTGAAAACCCAATGAAATTCGAAACATAAAACTTATTAGAATTTACATCTGTATCTAAATGTGGAATTTGGGTTTTCCTCAGAGGTGGGTAGTCAAGCCGAACACCAAACACATGTTTGCCAAAGTGATTTAGAGCATATACATTTATTAGCACTATAATTTATATTTTATATTAGAATGAATATTAAAAATCAATATTTAATTCAAATTGAATCTTTAAGTTGGGTTTCCTGGCGGTGGGTACTCAAATCAGAACACACATATGCTTGCCAAAATGCATTGCAATCTGACAACTAAACATTAATCAAAATATGTTATCGACTAGAAAGCATGATACAGTGTGATTTTAAGTTAATTACTGTTCCATAAATCTGTAAGCATTAACAAATACAAATTTATTTTTGTTGTAGAAGCGAAAAGAGTTGGGGAAGGGTTTTGTTATAAAAAGCTCAACTCGAAAACGGGAGAATGCAAGTCAAAGATGAAAGTAAAGCAACAAAAGGTCGACTGTTGCTCAAGTGGTGGAGCTGGATGGAGCGCCAGACGAAAGGACAGAGCACAGTGTGAACCATGTAAAACCTCTGTAGTAGGTATTCACCACATCAGTTTTATTTCATTTTATATGGGCCTAGAAATTCAATAGACCTTTCCCGCATTCCAACAAACAATGGCTCCGAGTCGAGGTCAGGGTGGACAAAAATACAGCAAATATATGAAAATGTCCACCCCAACCTCGCTCTGGTGCTATTGTTCATACGCACTGAAGTGGAATGCGGGAAAGGTCTATTATACTGGAAGGAAATATATTTAACTAAGATTTGCTACAAAATGTCACGAACTACTGGCTTAACCGGAACTTTCGATGTGCACGAGACGCAGTCATGCGATTTTCGTTTTAGATAATTTGAAACAGATACAGGACCGTGTTCACTTGAGCCTCTTGTATTATTAAAAGTTGACGCAAAGTAGATAGCTAGCCGTTAATACTCTCAATTGTATTGCGAGAATATTCATCATTGTGTTCGTCAGCCTCTTACCTCGCACGTGCAGCGTCACGTGTATGCTTAGATGTTTTTTCTCGTGTTCAAAATAAAAAAAGTCTCGTAAAAAAAAGAGAAACGTTTTTTGGATCATATATAGGGCTTGATCCTAAACGGTGAATTTTGTTATTAACGGGCCCTGAATTGAGACGTGGAGTTGTTTCAAAGCCATATCACTTGATAGTTTAACTGTTAATCAAATCTTTGAATTGAATAGAAACAAGTTACTGGGGCGCCTGGAGTGAGTGGAGTAATTGCAATGCAACATGCGGTCCATCATTCAAAGTCAGGACAAGAGAGTGCATCTCAACAGGAATCAAAAGTTGCAAAGGAAAGAATGAGAAATCGAAGCCTTGCCAGACTGAACCCTGTCCAAGTATGTACTAGTGTGTTCTATTATGTTATTGTATAACATGCCCACATTGGAAGTTTATGGTGCTTCAGTCTTGTTGTACCAATGAACAATTGCGTGAAGTCCAATAATAATTAAGAAATATAAAACATGCACCGTGTTTCTATCGAGTTTTAGTATAAATCTACTAGCGTTCTATCACGAATTGCGTTCTCTGATGGGCTACGCTACTCACTATCTATTCCGTGATTTATAGTGACTAGCGTAGCAGTGTGCGCTTGTTAACAAAATGACGGCCGCTTCCTGGCGTTTTCGAAGTGTTCGTGAGGAGGATTTAGAAAAAGTTTTGAACGACTATTAGATTTATACTAAAACAATTAGATTATTCGCTCTCGTTTTCTATGCGTGATAGAAATCTGGAGCTCATAACCTAATTGTTTAATAGGAACACGATTTTAAAACAATCAGCCTGCGTATTTTCTTGGGCTATTTTCTAATGTTCAAGGCCATTGTCTTTTTCAGTCGATGGAGGATGGTCGCTCTGGGGAAACTGGACAAGTTGCTCAGTGACCTGTGGAAAAGGCCTTCAAACACGAACTAGAAATTGCAGTAACCCTACTCCCCAGTTTGGCGGGAAAGATTGCCAAGGAAAGTTGGAAGACGCGCAATCCTGCAGTGACACGGAGCATTGTCCAAGTGAGTTAACGATTTTATTTTTTTTATCTGATGTTACAGAAACTCGTATCAAGGACGCGTTTTACAGTGCGACTACTCGTACCGGGCCAGCGTGTAAGAAACCTAACCAATCAAAACGTAAACTGAGAACAATGGACTGGTAGTTTCTCGTTACGGCAAGTAACAGTCTGTTTGACGTGAAAACATAATCACTATCGACTCCTCTGCGTTATATACACTCTTAGAGGTTAAGTCCTTGAAGGCGAATTGTCATAATTATAAATCTAGCTCGAAAAATTTACCTTGAAAACTCATTTTGCGACAACTAAACAGAAACCGGTGAAAAGCGTACAAAATTTAGGATCGAAACTAATCAATCAATAAATGACAAAGTTTTCCTGAGAGGTTCGCAACCCCTCGCACTTTGATGGGTTTTCAATTTTGCTAAGATCTGTTGTTCGTATTCTTCAATGTTATTGGTTTATTTGAGGAAAAGATCGCCATCCTTTGTTTTCAAGTAACGTTCTGATTGGTTAACTCTTTTCCAAGTTGCCCGGTTCGAGTTGTACTAGTCGCACTGTAATACATGTTACCATATCAACTTTATACTAAAAACTAACACTTTAGAGGTCGAGCCAAAAGCACTCTTCAATGGACAGAAGAGAGGTTAAGCACAGACGTTCTCAAGTTAACATTCGAAAACATTTCCACTTTTAGAAATATCTTGATCCGCAGACCAGAACACTCAACTATCCAATCAGCGCACGAATGTTGCGTCTCATGATGCGAGGTATCTTTTCAAGAAATATCCTGATGTTATGAATTTGTCGATCTAAATCAACATCAGCGATGTTTCAGAACGCGAATAGGAACAAAATAATCCCACGATCTATTTGTTTCTTTTTTTTTTTGTTTTTTTCACTGGTCGGAAATCAACCGATTATAGAAAGAGACTCTTCCTCTTTCCCGTGACCTTTTGGCCAGAACGTCATTTGTTAACGACGTAATGAATAGCTTTCCAACTGAATGACAGCAGTGGAGGTACACCGGCTAGATTCACCTCCAGTTTGCTCTTCGTGACTCAAAGATGTCTTTGATTAACCTTTTAACCTTTAATTTCAAATCTAAACATGAATTGTGCCTTCACATTTTTGTTTTCCTTTCAGTTCATGGAGGTTGGGGTGAGTGGAGTAACCATTGGTCGGAATGCAGCGTGTCATGTGGATTGGGAATACGGACACGTGAGCGGGAGTGTGACAATCCTAAGCCTAAGTATGGTGGTAGACCGTGTGATGAAAAAGAACGTCAAGATGTTAGATACTGCAGAGAACAGATTTGCGATCCAGGTTTGATCCTTTATCTACTTTTTCCCTCGTTTTACTGCTTTTTGGTTGCTGCTTTTCCACAATAGCAACTAAAAGAATTCACTTGTTTCTTCCTTATTATTCAAATTTTAAACCACACCGGGGTTTAAATGACAATTGCGCCAATTAGCATCAGAAAAAGAAATCGTAAAGGATTCTGGGGCTTGAAGTCAAATGACGCCATCATGCAAATCGTCCATTGCATCGTTTTTTTATCTCCCCTTCTGACAGAACTTTCGGCTTCCGGCTCTGGAGAAGGCTGGGAATCAGGCAGTGGCTCGGCATCTGGCTCGTCGGGTGATTCCGGTGACTGGGAGGAGCACAGTGGAAAAAGGGCCTGGAGCGATGATGAAGACTTATGAGAGAGAGAATGATTCTTGGGGAGTCTTTAAGCAAATCTCTGCAAACTATGTTAGTGTTTATGCAGTTTAGCAGTTTAATTTTAAATGTTTGCAAAATTTGTAGCTGCTATTTTTCAGATTACTGGCCTTTTAGCTTTCCTCTTTCTTCAATAATTCGTTCATTTTTAATGCTGCGTTAAACTGTTTTGACTTTAGAGGCGTTTCCAGCTAAAAGTCGGTTTAATTTCTTTCTTTCCAAATGGACCGTTGACTTATATCGTCAAAGGTATTCCGAGAATTGCATGGTAGAAAGACAAAATAACCAGCAATCCTGCAAACCTTCCACCACGAAAGTCAAACCCCATGCATGCAGTGAGTTAATGTGGTACTAACTTTACATTACCTCATTATAGTAAAGTGGTTTGTGAAGAGCGGAACGTTCACTCGTTTCAACATAAGTCAAAATTGTGTTTTAAATTAGTTAGTGGGTTTTTATGACCTTAATTTGTAAAACTTTTAGACTCTTTCCCACTTTAGTAAGTTTAGAAGGAAATATTTTAGGTAGTTTAGACACATAAAGAGTTCTCTGTTTTTGTTCAACAGACTATAAAGAAAGGGGTGTGCAAATTTTATGTTGTTTCATTTGTTTCAAATATCGACCATTGACAGAGGATACTTCTTTTGCTGAAATCTTTTTTGTCTTCGACGTTCAGTGTGAGGCATAGAAAAGACATGAGAACTTTAAAAGTACCCACCAACCTAAAGGAAAATCTATGGAAAGGGGAGAAAAGTGAGTGAGAGGAAAACTGTTCAGGTCTCAAGATCATAAGAAAGCAAGGATATTGAATCCATTGAAATACGTTTACATTGAATCAACCCTGAATGGCACTGATGTAATGATATACGCGTCTAGTTTAAGGACTGTGTCTGAACTTTGTTTCTGTTGTTGTTTGTTTGTTTGTTTTTCTTTTTCATTTGAACCTGAAAAGATGTTCTTAAGTTTCTATTTCCAATCTTTTAAGATTTTAGCAGTTTTTTGGTGTATCTTCCCATAGTTCTGAATGAGAGAACACAGAGAACCCTACAACCGAAGATGTTCTACAATGAACCATGTGAAAAGACATGCAAGCCCGTCCTTCATGTTTAAATTGTCACTAAAGGCAATTGATAAATGGACTGTGTGGGCTCAAGTTTACATTTTATCAGAATTTAAAACGTTGTCGATATAAACGTCCTCAAGTGACTCAGCTTTGGGTTTA